ATATGTTCAGAAACCGTAACTATTGATAAAAGCGGCAAATGAAGCGCACTACAAGGCAAAGCACAACTCTTTTGAACAAACGTATCCTCTCACATCTGAAATGAAGTCACAGAAAATAAACCAAAGAGCCCAATATGACCAGAATCCTAACACATGAATTCACTGTCCAACAAGGATGTCAACAGAGAGAATAGAGCTGAAACAAGTTTTGAAATTTGAAAACTGAGAATAATAATTGTTAAAATGTAATTGATGTATACTTTCTTTATTTTGACAGTTGTTGACTACACAGAGACGTTCTTACTACTACTAGGCTTCTTGAATATGAATATGAATATGAATATATATATAGATATGGCACTAAATAGCGAGAGTTAGATATTATTGCAACGTTCCGGACCTTTGCCCGAGGACATTTTCTCAATCTGGATCTTTTGGAATTTTAGTTGAATACCCCTGCAATAGCCTATCATCATACTTAACGATATAAACCCCGGGCACTAGGATTGAACCAATCTATAAACTGTCTGAAACAATGGATATCCGCGGCCCCAAATGGGCCCCAAAAACAATTGCCACAATAGCGCAAACATGCCACTCCCCTTTCTTTGAATCCTAGAAACACCCCTGCTTGATAGAACCCCCCAAAACGCACAGATGGTGCGGCATCGGTGTAAAATTTCAAAGAATCCAAGGAATTCACCAGATCATCGTAGAAGAATGTAACCCCATTCCAGTTATCGAGCAGACGAGACCAGAACCGTAGGTCAGAGCGACACCCTTCATCCAGATACCCTAGATCGTGCAACTTGCTCACGGAAGATGCCATGTCCAACAAGCGGGAGATGAATGAGCGTCCCTGTGGAATGACGCACATGGCAAAATTAAGATGCCCTAGCAGGGGGAGCAACTGCTGTTTAGTTATGTTTTCAGCCGTGCAATATGACTTGGTAATCTTGCGGATGCGCTGCAGTTTCGCGATCGGAAGAGACGCTTCCATGTCTAGTGTATCGAGTATGATGCCCAGGAACTCCAGACGTGTGTCTGGCCCCATGGTTTTCTCATCCGTGAGTGGAATGCCAAGGGAGTGGAAACACCGTTTCAACTTCCAGCAGATGAAGGACAGCTGGGACCCTGACTCTATTAAGTAGTATCCAGCAAAGTGCTTCGGACACTTGGTTGAAGATAAATGGGCTGCTTTTGCACCCGAAAGTCAACCGTACCCCAAAATAGAAATTGGAATCCCACCTGATTCCGAAGAGATGCCACTGGGAAGGATGGATCGGCACAATTTATTAATTGTATTAATTTAATGGCATTGTCAACCGAGGCGTAATGGAGAGAGAATAGCTCGGAAGGGATGAGGCTTTTAATGCTTGGACGTGGGCAGGAAGAAGGAGCGGACAGATCGAAGATTAACCTTTTCTTCCCCGAGTACTTCCGTGGCTACCCCTATAGGACTGGTGCGAAACACGGTGAATGGAGAGGACTTGAAGGGGCCAATTACGTAGTTTTTCTTAACCTCTTTCTCAATCAACTGAAAAACCGTATCTGGATCATTTACCACTGACTGCAGATTCTTAGCCACATGCGTTTCAGTAGGCATAGCAAGGACTCCCACGCGGAAACCTTGTGACAAGCCCGTAAGCAGATCGTCTACGAACACAGAATCAGGATGAGAGGCAAGTTCAATCGACAGTGACTGGAGATTTATTGGTGTAGAGCAGGGGTCACCAACCTTTTTGAAACCGAGAGCTACTTCAAGGGTACTGAGTAGTACGAAGGGCTACTTGTTTGATACAAACTTCATGAATAACAAAGTTGCACAGATCACCTTTTAATAATAATATATGTGAAGAGACTGATCACATGTCAATGTTAATTATTCCTCACAATAATTATAAACAATGATTGTGTATTTTGTTCAAAATCGCACCCATTATATTTTTGTAAAAATTATCACTTCTAAAATTTTTTAGGAAATCATTAACTGTCATATCTTCACATCATGGTTTGTACTAACCACTACCTTCGTAACATTTTTGAACAAATCATGAACTCTGTCCCATGTTTATACAAATTATCAGTTATGTAAGATAAAAAAATCAACTCTCACATTTTTAAATCCTATTACATTAGTACTAATGACCACATTTTGGGAAATCTGGGTCAACTTTGCATTGCGCAATGAAGCCTGCATGCCGGCCTGTAGTCTGTAGTCACCGACACCAGCTTTTTTTTGGGTACCTTTTTCTCCACGAAGAAACTAGTAAAATGTCTTGTCTATAGCCGAGGGGGGATCCAACCCTCCGAGGCACGCGAGCGTCTTTGGTCGCCTGCGTTCAAACCTCGAGTCTGGGCATTTTCGATAATACTGCGTTGACTCGCCTCTACCCCCGCCACCCACGAGTTGTTGCCCCGCGGCCTGTTCCGAGGACTGACGGACCTGACGACGGTGTGCGATCACGGCGTGGGCGGTGCCAACGGGAAGCGCCCGCCATTCGGAACCTGAAAACCTAGTGTGGTGCGGCGGCCTCTTCCTTTTAAAATCTACATGAATGCAAGCGTTTATGATTCAAAAAGAACAGAAACTACAAATTTTAGACAGAGCTCCATGGGGACCTAGTGCTATTTTTAGAACATGCCTTGCGGGCGACTCACATGGTCCCTGCGGGCGACCAGGTGCCCGCGGGCACCGTGTTGGCTACCTCTGGTGTAGAGGGATGCTGCGTCAAAATGTTTTTGAACCACGATGTTTCCCTTTCCGTGGGAGAGGTCTGGCTGCACTGCGGGGGCAGACTGACCGGGGGTGAGCATCCTTGCAGTAGCTGCAGATGTGAAGATAACGACAGTTTTGATATGTACACACACTTTCATTAAAATTCATACAACTCTGAATGTAATTTTGATTAGGCACCTCACGCCCAGCGAACGTTGGCTGAAACACCGCCGAGGGACAGAGCGGGGCTATGTGGCCCGAATTCCCGCACGAACCACATGCGGGTTCGTGCGGCCATGACCAGTAACTCGGTATCCAGCACTGACCAGTCCAACCGGGAGTTATACTGCGAAATATACAGGGCGGCTTTGCTGGAGAACGCCTTATGGTACTGGTAAAAGATGTTCCTCGCATATTTCAGCTGTAGCTCGCCGATCAGTGCCATGTAGGTGTCAGCTCCTGTCTTCTGTCTGGGTAGACCGCACATATCACGTCCCGATATACCCCGAACACTACCATAAACTGTCCAATTGATAAATCTCTGATTAGCCTTGGATCTGTCGATTTAAACACCGCAGCGATGTTACCACCGGAGGCTAAGCTTGTATCACACTCGGGGGAGGGCAGCATTATGCTTACCAAATTGATGTCTTTCTCCTGCAGGATTTTAGACCTAAGACGAGTAGTAATATTAGCTGCCTGAGGAATGTATGACCTACCCATTGGAGGAGCCGGTACTGCAGATGCCAGCGAATGTTGGGCTACTTCTATTTGCGAAGAAGTGGAGGCCTGGCTAAGCATGACGGCTGGTTGCCGCATGGCGTCCTGGGTGGCGGTGATGGTAACTGATGCTGGCGCCGGAATTGCCGCGTTCCCCAGGGATTGCAGGCGAGCCTCGATGGTGTGCATGGAGCTCACCAGTGACTGTAGAGTGGAGATTACGGTGTTGTCTGTGTTAGATGGGCCAGGAGTTGCTGGTGGAGCAGGATTCCGAGACATTGCCTCTTTCCTCTTCGCCTGTGGTGCTTGGGCTGAGCCGTTTTTTTTCGCTCTTTTCCGCCCTGGTGCAGCCGCTGGTCGGGGATCTACTGGATCGCTGCTAACTGTGAGCCTCAACAGCTCACGGAGCTGGGATAGCGGAAGGCCTGGTGCTGGATTAATGCCACAACCTTCCAGCTGGGCCAAGAGGGTTTCTTGCTCGTCTGGGTGGGAGCCGCTACGCCGCCCAGGGCGAGTGCTTTTGCGCCGGACGCCCGGCAGGCTGCATGCCGGCTCCAGCGGGCTGCATGCCAGCTCCGGCTAGCTATCGAGATTGTGACTTGCATGTCTTACAAAAGGATCAGAATCGGAGTCCGACATACTCAGTACCAACAAAATGCTAAGCTGCAAAGGGTAAACCACTGCTTAATGCTCTCGCATCTGCTTAATGCTGAAATGACAACTGACAGCAGTAGAGAGGAGAACACTTTAACGTTTGACAGCAACGATCTGATTGGCTGAAGGAAACTGTGTGACGAATCTGGTTGGTTACTTAAAAGTGCACACCCCCAATCAGCTGATAGAGTAATTACAAGGAGAGGAGAGACAGGGAATACGAGTGAGTGTCTTCCTGACTGAACTTGCGCTTGAGCTACATTACATTCCTGTGGTGCATTTTTTGAATTTGCATCAGGAGGAATTTAAACAGCAGCAACACAATAATTATCTGGGTAGATAATATGGCAGACATCTTAACATTCAAAATTTGATATCAGGGAAACATTTTACCATCAACTTTGACTGTGTTTGAGCACCAAGCATCATGATGTAAACACAGAATTCTCCTCCTCTGGTCCACCGGAGTCCTGCTCTCTGTTCTTCGGTCCACCCGTCAAGTGCAGCTTGATCCGCGATAAACGATGGAGCCAGGTCTCTGTGAAGATGTGGTCACAACAGTCACCGACCTCCCGCTACTGGAGTCTTATTTCATCCTTCTTATTTTTCTGTGACCGGACATCAGACAGCCAGGAGTAGGCTAGGTAGTGGAGTAGCCTCAGGTCCGAGCTGGGTTAGCTTAGCTTCTATCTCGGCTCTCCTCCCTCTCCTCCTGGGTTCGTCGCCTATGCTTTTGGTGGCGTTTGGTATGGCTGGTGTGGCTGGATGTTGATGTTGATGAGTGTTTCTCTGTTACATGCCATACACCCTTCAGTAACAAAGATGAAAAGACAACATATTACTCTGACTGATGATGTTAATAAAAGTCTTTTTGATATATGTTTTCTTCTTTTGTGTGTATGAACAGGTCAGCCAGGGCAGGGTGTCACATGGAGCCCTATGGGTAATGTAGTCCACAGGTTGAATGTGGTTCTGGGGCAGCGTGGAGAGAGACTGACTCGTGCTGAGGACAAGACTGCGGAACTGATGCACAAAACCCAGCAGTTTGCAGACACTGTTCACAAGGTGACATAAACATACAGCTATATATATATATATATATATATAGGTATATATATATATAGCTTTTAACTTGACCATATATGTAATATAAATTACAAAGTCCAGATTTGTATATTGACTGTATTTGTTTATTCTACATTGTTTTATTTCCAATGCAGATGGCCCTGAAGCATTCAAAGTAGAGTCTGTTGGTGGATGAATGGAGTTCTTCAGATGTTGAAGATGAATCCTGTAACATGGACACTAACACAGTCTGGGCCCAGCAGATACAGCCAACTCGTCATGAACATATATAACTGAGTGCAGCAGAGGACTAAATACTCTGTCCTTGTGATCTTAATCTTTCAAAGTTCAGTTCACCTGTCCATTATGAGAAAAAAACTGGACTTGTACATTTAAGCTGCAGTTATTTAACATTGTTTTTGTATAATTAGTCATTGAATTGTTTTGACCTATCACTTATTATATTGTTTGAATAGATAGGGGCTGTGTGACAGGAAGTATTTTTTTCCGGTAATGTCTCCTCATGGTTTGGACTTCATTGGATTTAATTATTATTTAGTTACTCACCACTTGTCATAATTCTGTGTTCCTAATGTGTTTTTGTAGTGTGTAGACAGTACAGTGTCATGTTGTCAAAATTGTGTTATATCTAGGATTATATCAATGAGTCCTGAACAGTCAACCTGTCACTTCTGGTCTGTGTCTTCTTGGTCTGTGTCTTCTGGTCCGTGTCTTTTTGGTCTGTGTCTTCTGGTCCGTGTCTTTTTGGTCTGCGTCTTCTGGTCCGTGTCTTTTGGTCCGTGTCTTTTGGTCCATTTTTTAAGTTTGTCTTAGAGGTCCTGTCTTTGAGAGTTGAGTGAAGGTGGTTCAGGTAAATTGAGATTTTTTTCATTGAATAGTATTGTGAGCAAGGCAAATGAAGCTGGTCTGTGTAAAAAAAAGTCAGAGTGACAGTTGAAACCCTCCAGGTTTGCATCACTCCTTTCCATACATAGCTGTAATGCTGATTGAAACAGTGGATGTAGTATTTGTTTTTTTAAGCGTGATCTAATTTCCACTTGGAGTACTTTGATATATTAAGGGAAGTAATTATAATCAAGCTTAGCTTTTGGCTACAGTTTAATGTGTGTGATGTACTGTAAATGTCTCTGATGTATTAACTGAGTGAACTAAATAAATAAGCCTGGACCTGACAGTTGGGCTGTGCTTTGTTATTTTATACTCAAGGACATCACCTGTTCAGCTTTGATCACCAGATGGCGCTCACAGAGTAAGGAAGAATAACTTCAGCACTGTAGCAGTTGACAGTAACAGTTGTAATTTTACTGATGCAACTTCAAACAGATTTGTTAATCTGTCAGACCCATTGTAATGGACATCAAATATTTATTTGTCTCATTTTCCTTAACCAATAAATGTCATGTTTCAATATCTAAACATATACTGGAACTTGCCAGGTGAAAGAGGCAGAGATGGCTCCAAGATGAAGGCAGCCCACCTCTGAACCCATGGCGTGTTACCGTCTGGAGAGCAGGCATCAGACCTAAATGCAGATAACTGAAGAAAAGGCAGCAGGAACGATTCAATGATTAATTGGAAATAGCTCACAGGTCTTGAGTCTAAAATGGGCAGGCAGGAAACAGCAGCCAAGGTTGGAAGAAAACAGGTAAGAGGAAACCAAAGTCCAAGCAGAAATTAAGCAACAACAAATTTCAAGGACTGCCTTTTTTTGTACCTATGTACAGGCACATCCTGTCTTCAAAGTGATGCAGAAAAATGTGTTCATGCATTTGTTACTTCTAGACTAGATTACTGCGATTCCTTATTATCAGGCTGCTCTGTTAAGTCTCTTAAAGTTCTCCAGTTGATCCAGAATACTGCAGCACGTGTACTAACAAAAACTAAGAAAAGAGATCATATTACTCCTTGTTAGGATGCCCAAGCAGCCATGGAGGAAAATGAGCAGATAAGGAGTCCGGACAAGGTTTCCACTCACGGTTAATTTATTTGGCTATTCAAAGATCACACCAGTGTCTGCTAGTCTCCACTCCTTCACCCCATGCAACAAAATTAGCTCCCTTTTATACACCTGGTGACTCTAATTAGAACAGACAGACCATCTACAGGTAAGTATATCGATTACAATATATGTACAATAAATAGTCACATGATTTCACCCACCCCAAAGATATCAATAATAATTTACCAATATTTACCATCACTATAAATAGAGTAAATTATAAACAAATAATTAATCTAAATAAACATACCAACTCTTTACTTCACCCCTACCGCTTCCTGTAGGTGGTACTTCCCGGAACTATAAATAGGTGCTCAAGGCCCTGGGGAACTCTTTTGCCTGAACATCCTGGGAAGAGGAAACAGGCCGAGGTGAGTTGTTGCAATATACAAATGAACCTTTATCTAGGCAATATACTATATATACACGATATTGTTCTGCCACATAACTAATTAGACAGTCTTACAATCTGGCTGGTTCAATCAGTCACTCATTGCAGTTGTCTATTTGTTTGTTCGCAGGGAGAACTAAAAGGAACATCTTTGTCCCAGCTGTGCCCATGGCTCCCAGCATTCAGTCCTACAAATATATCTATCCAATAACATGTTTTTCTTTGTAACTTCATCACATTTCAAATACACTCCGCAGCATAGGTAACGGCGGTGCGTCGTTGCACTCCTGTATTAGCTTCTCTGCCAGAGCCTTCAGCTATGAAGCTCCTCTTCTGTGGAACCAGCTTCCAGTTTCAGTCTGGGAGGCAGAAACACTCACAACATTTAAGAGTAGGCTTAAGACTTTCCTCCTTGTCCTTCTGCTTATAGTTGGGGCTCAAAAGCTGCAACATAAATGGGAGACCAGACCAGTTAAAAGTAATAAATAACCACATTTATTTAAAGAATACCAATAAATAAATGAACCAAACCTGGATAGTCTATAATCAGTGATGTCGGGATGTGTGAAAATGTCTGGACAGAAAAAAAATATCAGCTGTGTCAGCCACTGAAGAGGGATCGTTCATGTTCAGGTGCAGAGACTTTATAGCTGGAACCACACCAGACTCAGGTTTGGCTCATAAACTGATCAACATCCTGAAAGACAAAGAGACAGCACACGGGACACAGACCACTAGTGGAAGGGAAGAGTTGTCGCAGCTGAATCAAGTTTGCCTTGGACCAGCCCCTAGTTATGCTGCTAAAGCAGAAGTCCCCCATACTGCTGGGGGACTTCCTCTTTCCTCCTCTTCCTCCATCTGTATATATCCATGTCCATTAATGCACATTACCAACTAACTAAGAATGCACTGGTGTGATGATCATGTGGATATAGTACACTGATGATAAAGTGGATATAGCTCACATTTTAACAAAGGTGGCGATGTTAAAATTTGTGATGACAATAAGCCAAACAATAGTGATCAAGTTTCTTATTCGTTTCAGTTTTATAGGGCATGTCGATTTTGTTCTTGAAACAGAACTTTATTCTCATTAAATTGCAAACTTTACTCCAATACAAGTTTTTCTCAAAATATGACTTTATTCTCGACATCTGGACACATATTTGGGATATGTGTTGAACGTGCAGAAAGTTTTTAATATGAGCCGCAATCTTACTGAAACACATGAGCTATTAAAGTACAGTAGTTAATAAATTAATGAATATATTATTGAGGTGAATAGGTGCCAGTCAATGGATTCTTATGTCAAGTTGCGCATGTTACTCCCTTTTGGGTCTGAGTGAATAATTTCAGTGTTTCCCAATATTGGACGTTGTCAGCTTGTCTGTGATTTTGATTTGATAAACGTCTGAGTGTTTTCCTCATGTCTGTATCAAACTACTTTTCATTGCCTTACTTTTTAAAATCTGTAATGCTGATACTTTACATTCGATAAATCTGTCTTTCTAATGTGGAGTGTAATTTAAATATGACCAGATAAGGATGTTCTGTAATACTATAATCTACTGTGCAGTTGCCAAGAAGAGAGCTGTGTAGTGACTGAGTCCCCCCAAAGCCCGCAGTTAATGATGTACAGACCCAGCTGCAGTAGTTGGTGCCCGCTTTTGTTCACAGCTTTGTCAAGGTTGTCGCTGTTGGGATGTTATGGGAGGGGAATGCTGATCTGGCAAGGTATGTGACTGTCTCCCTGTAGATTAATAAGAATCTGCTTCCATACTCTTCCTGGCATTGAGGGCTCTACAAGTCGGTTCCCCACTGTGGGCCTGGTAGTGATTGATCTCATCGTCAATAAAGGAGAAACTATTTCATTGAAATAAGGAGATTCTGATGGAGGATATGCTGTACACATGAATATATCTGTGGCGACAACCTCTCCTCTCCTTTTATTTTGAGTCAAATTGAAAGTTTGCCTTTTTTGATTAATTCTAATGAATGGACAGGGTTTGCCTTGTACCAAATCAGCACTCTTCCTGAACCCCTGCCCTGGGTTACTCCTTTCAGTTGGTGGATGGAAACATTATCTCTTGATAGCCTTAGGGACAACCAGTGGAAATGTCTCCTGTAAAAAAAAACATCTGCATCTCTAACTCTTTGGTGAGGTCTGGGGTTCAAGCCGAAGACCTCAGACCCAATACGTTCCAACACAGCTGTATATGCTGTACATATATCTCTCTCTTTCTCTAAATTCAATTCAATATCCTTTATCGGCATGAATGTAATGGGGACAACATTGCCAAAGCCTCAAGTAATGATGAAATTATTAAAAAAAGGAAAGGTACACTTCATCAAAATAACAAAAGCACCAGATTATGAGCAATTAAAAAGATATTTTAACTGGACTACCCCAAAGCATATCCATCTTGTACTAAATCAAAGATGAAGAATGGATACTGGACTTTCTGATCACCATGGGATCCACTGTCACCACCACAACTGCCGGAAAACTGGACTCGACTGTCCCATGGCATGTACCGCTGCTGGCCAGGCTGCAGACCACTGGATCCAGTTGGGAGCTAAGCCCAAGTCCTTGGTTTGCTCCACTTCTAGTCAGTGTGTGTGTGTGTGAAGGACCTTGGCTCCAACGACATCTGTCGTCGACGAATACTAACATTATTAAAAAACTAACACAAACTCACTAGAACCCTAATTGATAACGTTAATTATATTCCCCTATTTTATTTAGATGGGCCAGGGCCCTGGTATTCAGGTTGGCTGACTGGAATGACTGTGGTACACTAAATAGAATGGGACTATTATTAATTGGATCAATCACACTTGTGTTTAGTCTGCTTTCACATGACGAAATAGATTCTATTTAAGGGGCATATATGCTCATATACAGACAAGTAAGTCAAACAAGTGACTTATGAGAGTACCAGCTTTTAAATGTGGATTCGCATCATTATTTACAAATAAACACATGCTTCTTAACCTTGTTCTGTTAAAATTCAATATAAATGAAACACTATAATGAAATGAAATGAAACATGTTCGTCATTATGAAAGGCAAACTCTATGTAGATAGATCGATAGATAGATAGATAGTTACTTTATTAATGCCGCAAGGGGACATTTCTTCGCTACAGCAGCATTTATAGATACAGGTAAAGCAATAAAATCACAGTAAAAATATTAAATAACAAAATGCACAATATGTACAATAAAATTGAATCATCTTAAATTAACTAACTAAACAATAGTGCAAATATTTACCAAACAAACAAACAACAGTGTAACAGTGTATAGTTATTGATCCGGCCAGAGGTGATTTATTGTAGAGTCTTATAGCAGAGGGCAGGAATGTTCTCCTGTATCTGTCCTTGTGACAGCGGAGCTGGATCAGTCTGTTGGAGAAAGTGCTCCGCTGTCCCTGCAGTAGGTGGTGGAGAGGGTGGTCCGGGTTATCCAACATGTGTGCCGCAGCATAGGTAGGACACCACACGTGTGACTGTCACGATTAGGCTTTGCTTTCTGTGTTCTGTGTGTGTCTTTGTGTAGCTCCACACCCTCCTCACTCTACCTGTCAGCCACTCCCTCAGCATCAGCCTAGCTCCTTCTCTTCTTCTTCTTCTTCTTCTTTTGTTTTTAATGGCGGTTGGCAAACAAGTTTTAGGTGCATTACCGCCACCCACTAATCTGGAGTGTGGACTAAGGAAAGTAATTCTCCAATATGAAAACCAAACAAACAAACATAAAATTAAATTTAATTCTCAAATACT